GCTATATCATGTATTAAATTTAAAGATGGACTTAATGTATCTGTTGGCATGAGTACTGGTCAGGTAAGGATAAAAAAAAAAAATTTTTTTTTTCTGTTCTAGAATTTATATTTGACTTTTTTTTTTATTTGTAGATATTATTGTTTGATATTCGTTCGAATAAACCATATTTTATAAAAGATCATAATTATAATTTACCTATAAAACATATTGATTTTCATACACAAAATGATGATTATATTTTATCAATGGATAAAAAAATTTGTAAAATATGGAATCGACATACGGTAAATAATTCAATTATCGAGAGTTAATTGAGAATATTTCATGTTGGAATATCTTTAGATGAACATTAGAGTCATTTCGGGGAATCGACCGGCTGTATTCGATATCTAGAAAATTTCGGAAAAAATGATCTAAGAGGAATGTTGAAGTCTCAGGATAAAAATTTGAACTTCTCTACATCCTATGAAAGACTTGACTCTAGTTTCTTCAAAGTCCTGTGAAAATAGGATTTATTATATATCATTCGACGCGCCTCAAAAAGCTCTACAACATGGGATATTTAGTCTTTCATTTCTGAATAGATTACTTTATCCGACAAGGCCATTTAAACATCGGACTTAGAATTTTTGATCAACCCTAAGTATTTGTTATTCTTGGATGGTTAATAGCTGAATTTCAAGTCAATTTTATAACATTTTTTAATCTTGTCAATACTTTGAAAGTAAAGAATATTTCTTCTCATTCATTTCTAATCATCCTCGTAGATGATCTTATATTTCTAACTAAATTTTAAATAATCTCCTTCAGTTATACACAGAAAAAAAAGTTATTGGAGAGCGCTTAAGAGTTTTGTAAAGTGGAAACCAATTAGGGCTGTGCCTCGTTGAGTTACGCCACAATTAAAAAACTTCAATTAAATTTATAATTTGATCATTTAGGGTAAAAATTTAACATCAATCGAACCAGGTACACCACTTAATGATATGCTCAATATACCTGGTAGTGGTTTAATATGTCTAACCAATGATTCACCGAAAATATTTGTTTATTATATTCCAGTATGTTTCTAAGAAATAAATTAATCTTTTATATATACATATATCTATTTATAGACATTGGGTAATGCACCAAAATGGTGTACATTTCTTGATAATATTACTGAAGAACTTGAAGAAAAACCAGCTGATACAGGTTTAATATTGTCTTACGTATTTATTTATTTAACTTTTATTCTTTTTTAGTTTATGATGATTATAAATTTTTAACATTAAAAGAACTTGATACA